ATACTTTAGTGTATGATCACAGTGGGGTTCAAGCTTGGGGTTATGATGCTTGAAATATTCCCTACACATAGATTTTGATTTTTAGGGTTTCAATTTTGGGGTAAAACGGTTTCTAGCTGGTGGTTTTTGGCTAAGGTAGGCGGCGACGTCGGGGAGGCGGGATTTGGGCTGTCGACGAATAGGTTTTGGGGTGGTTTCCTAATGTTTGGCTAAGGTGGAAAATCAGAGAGGGGTTTTTACGGTTGAAGAGAAGGGAAGAGGTATGGTGGTTCAGGGCCGGTTCTGGCGCATGGCTTAGGGGATGGCGGTGCCGGTGCGGTGAAGAGGAGGACTAGGCGTCGGCGGTGGGGAAGATGGCTGGGTGGCGGTTGTGGGGATGTGGTTGGGCTAAGGTGGCTCGCTGGTGGCAGGTGAGTTTTGTTTTTTTTTTTTCAAAATTTTTTAAAGTTTTTTTTATAATAATTAATTAATTAATTAATTAATCTAAACAATAACCAATAACATGCTTTCACGTGGCAAAACGGAATTAATAGTTGTTAGCTAGTCATCAACGGCATGTCATGATATTTTTTAAAAAACTCAAGTATATATGGTGAATTTGAAAAATTTCATGGGTATATGGTCAGTAAAAAATAACTCTAGGGCATTTGGTGAAAATACCGTAAATTTTAGAATAATTATTTAATTAATTATCAAAAAAAAAAACCCATCCACCATGTAGGCATGTAGGGGCCAAGGAACTCGGTTCATGATTCTTGACTTTTTTATCGGAGTTGTTGAACAAGAGAAGAATTCATCATTCAAGTGCATTTGTTTGAGAGTTTGAGACTAGCAGGCATGCATAATATTAGAAAAATATAAATTGTAAACAATAAATTGATTTTTTTAAAGTGTATAGAAATCGAATTGAATTTGAAGAGAATGAACAAAATTATCTCATTATGGGTTCAATTTGGTTCATGATTATCGAATTTCATACAACGTATAAGATTCTGATAAAAGGTTTCGATGTAATTGCTGAGTTTAGGCGGCCTTGGGAGCGAAATGCTGGGGTAGCGATGTGTAACTGGAGATGGTGGTGTTTAAGTTACCATTGAAGGTTGAGTTGTTTTGGTGGTTTGCAAGAATGGGGAGGAGGAAAAGACGCCCGGCGGGGGAATGGGATATTGGCACTTGAGTGGGTGGTGGCTGAGTGCTGGTGGGGGATCAGAGGGGCAGGGGGAGATGGAAGGGGTGGCCGACAGACTGCTGGAGGCTGGGTTTGAGTTTGTTTGTTTATTTATTTATGTATGATTAATTTTAATTTCATTCTTTTACTTAATTTTTGACATTAAACAAATTTTTATTTTACCTATTCATCAGGTTTTCGGCCACTTGGGACTGCTAGAAGCAAATTGAAGTTAAAGTTTGGGTTATTAAAAAATAATCAAAAGTTGGGATTTTTTTCGGTGAATGAAGAAAAGTTCAGATTATTGTGAGCAATTTTTCCAATTAAAAATCCTTTTAAATTTAGGGTTTTGATTTTAGGGATTTCGATTTTGGGGTTTTAGGGTGGTGGTTTAAGGGGGGAAAGAGGGAGGAGATGGGCGAAACCCCTTCACCGGCAGCCCATACCTCTTCCCATATCGCAGCCGCCCACCTTAGTCGTAAATCACCACCCCTAAAATTAAAAACCCCTAAAATCGAAATCTGGGTTTTTGATTTTGGGGTTCAGGGTTTTGGGGTGGTGGTTCATGGCTAAGGTGGGCATCCACCCTCGACTGTATTCACCACCTTAAATCAACCCATCCTCTTCCCCCACGCCTCAAATCCTAAATCCCCACCAAAAAAGCACCATTTAAGGTTTCGTTAATGGTGGTTTTGAATAAAAAGTTAGGTTCGTGCCACGGAGAGAGAAAGAACGAGGTTCGAAAGTCAAGGATTATTGGTGGGGATTATAAATTTAATAAAAAATCAAGATCTGAAAAGGTGATAATTGATAAAATTATAAAATATTGAAAATTATAGAAAAAAATTGATCATTAAACATTAAAATAGAAAAAAAAATTTATACAGATTTTTATTGAAAACCTACACAAATTGTAAAAGCAAAATTTGTATAAAAAATAGAATTCAAAACCAACAAAAAATTAAAAATAAATTTGAAAAAAAAAAACCGAAATGTAAATAATTTGTAGATCGAAAAAAATACGTTTGAATGCTCCACTAAATTCAATAACATCATACTTTTTACATTTCTCAGTGGTGAATTACAAAAATTCTTATTATCTTTGATAAACCTAAGTTTTTTATTACCAAAGATAATACTTATTTTAATTTAAATTCATTAACCATAGTTAGTTTTAATATTTTTTTAAATAATTAAATTATTTTTATAAAGTAAAAAAAAAAACCCAACCCCACCCACCGGTGCCCCAGCCAACCCCAACCCCCTTCCCTTCGCCAGCGCCACCTCACTTCATTGCCGACTTGCTGGCACCCAAACCCCTTAACGCCGGCGACCATCCCACACCTCTCCACTTCCTTGAAAACCCTGAAACACTTCCATCCTTACCCCCGAAGATCGCCAGCCACTCATCCCCCACCCCCGAAAACCACTAGCTGCTTACCCCCACCCCCTAAAACCACCAACCTCTTATCCCTCACCTCTGAAAACCGCTAGCCACTCATCCCCCACCCTTGAAATTCGTCAGCCTCTCATACCCCATCCCTGAAATCCGCAACCACACCTGTAACTCCTCTCCCGTCGGACTCCCCTTCCCCGATTCCCCAATTCCCGATTTCCACCGTTAACCCTAACCCTAAAAAAATCCCCAATTTTTCTCTTGCTAATCTCAATTGTTTGTTTTATCGACGGAAAAGAAATCACTCATCAAATCTCAACGAAGAGAGATAAGGACGAATTGGAAGCGAACTGAACGAAAAAGACGTCGGCGATTGATGGTGAAGATCGAAATTGAGGACGAGGAAGGTGTTTGGTTGATTAATGTTGTTGCATAGTAGCGAATTTGGCTGTTGTCGATACATGGCCGGGAGGGGAGGCCGACACGCTGGCGATAGAGGGGTCGGCGCCGGTGTGGGTGGGGGCGAAGAGTGGTGGCGGATTGGTTGGGGAAAGGTTGATTTTTTTTATAAAAAATAATTTTTATTAAGTAAATAATAATAACAAAATAAATAAATAAACTAACTATAGTTAAATATTTAATTACGGTTTATCATTAATGTCATGGTTAGCTTAATATAAAATTTTAGGTTTATCAAAGATAATAAGAATTTTTGTAATTCACCACTGAGGAAAGTTAAAAGTATGGTGTTACCAAAGAGAATTTCCATAAAATAATTAAATAGTTGATATAAATTATAGACTTCGGGTGAAAGAGAGGACGGGTAAAATCAGTGAAAGAGAGGGAAGGTAAAATATTATCAATTTCTATGTAAATGGAAATTTATATAATGAAATGTAGTGAAACCCAAAAGATACATATGAAAATTGATATTTTAAAAGGATTGTAATCGTTTAGGATAAAGTTTTTTTTTTTAAATAATAAAATAAAAAAGAGAGAGAAGAGGACGTGTGTCCTTTAAACTTCTTGTTTTAAAATAGAAGTATAGATAGATACTCCCTCCGTATTTTAATAAGTGTTACACTTATCAAAACCGGCCGTGTTTTAATAAGTGTTACACTTCCTTTTTTTTTTTTGGTAAAAAGCTACATTAAAATATTTATCTATCTCCTCTCATGGTCCCCACCCAACCCAATACTACTTTTTTTTTATTACTTCCTCCGTTCCTTTAATATTTCATCACTTGCCTTTTACGAAAGTTTCACAAATATTGCACCATTTCCATTTTAAGACAAAAATTGTATCCGTTCACATTGCAAATATCCAACATACCCTTACTTTTTCACCCTTATTCTTTAGTTTAAGTTTACATTACATGGACACTTTTGTATTTTTACCTTTCTCTCTCTTCCTTTTCCAATTAGGGGTGTTCATAAATTGTTCCGGACCAAAAAAATGGACCGGACCAGACCAAACTAATCGGTCTGGTCTTCGGGTCTTGAAATTATTTTTTTCGGTCATCGGTCCGGTCCGATCCAAAACCCTATAAAAACCGGTCGATTCAGACCGATTTTTTTTTATTAAAAATATGCGTGAAACCTTAAATAATGGTGAAAATTATCATTAATAAGGTTAGAAAACTTTAATTTTATGTTTTTTGTACTAAACATACAAAAAAAGACATAAAAATGACATTAAAATATTGTTTTTCCTTTACTTTTTACGTGTATTCCATAACTTTATTAAAAATTTAGTATTTTTATAAAAAAAATTCTTAAATCGGTCCAAAGCGGTCTAGTCTGGGTTTTAATCCGATTCTTTCAGTCCGGTCCGGGTTTGGTCCTAGCTTAATCGGTCCGGTCTTCGGTTCTTAAAATTCTAATTTTCGGTCTTCATTCCTATTTGGGTCGGTCCGGTCTTGGACCGATGACAGCCCTATTTCCAGCTACCAAAATTACTGTGCCCAACTTGTATTGTGCAATAATAAAAACGGAGGAAGTATATCTTTCCTCTCCCATTAATTACTTTTCAATTAAAATCCACTATTTTTCTTTTACAATTTTTTAATACTCCAACTCTTCAACTTACTTCCTCCGTTTTATAATGTTAGTCTCATATGGAATCAATCACGTAAAATAAGAAAAGAAATATATTAGGAATCTAACATTAAAGTACAACATAATTAATAATAAGTTTAACTTTTTTTAATTTTTATTAGGAAAACATAAGTCATAATTGCATAAAATAAGGCAAAGATTTCCTTACTTAGAGTCATGTCATTAATCCACAACTTATTAATTCCAAAATAAATCAAGTTATAAATGAAATATATTCAATATGGGTATAACTTTTTGAAACGCCCAAAATAGTATGTGGGACTAATATTATGAAATGGAGGGAGTACCGTTTATTTTATTTAAGTCAATAACAATTTTTAACCACTAATTATTTTTTTTATTTATTATTTTTTTTCATTAGAATTAAGAGATACAGTAATATTTATATACTGTAAATAAAAAAATAAATAAAAACAAAATAAAAAAAAATCGAGCCTAATAGCTAAATAATAAAATTAGCCCTATCCCCCCTTCCCCCTTCCCCTCTCTCTGAGTTTCCCATTGAAGCGCACTCCTCGTTCTCCACTGAGGCGCCTTCTGATATTTTAATCCTCCATTGAAGCAACTTTTGAGGTAAGTTTTTATTCCTTTTTGTGTAATCATCGTATCAATTTCACAATCTAGGGTTTAATCTTATATCAATTTCGTAATCTAGGGTTCGAACTTTTGAACTATTGGTCTTAATTACTGACGAGATACTTAAATTATTGATAATTGAATCAAATATGCCTTTTCTCCCTATAAAATTATGTGATTTTTCGAGCCTGAATTAAATTTCGTACTGTGATTTCCTGAATTTGAACTTTGAAACTTTGAACCAGGTTGTTTCGTCCCCAGTTGCTCTTTCAAGATATCGCTTTCATATTATAATCCACTTTTTGTTTGATTTTAATTTTGTTTTTTAAGCCGTTTTGCATGATTCATCCTATTTTGTTTTTATCGCTTTCATATTATAATTCGCTTTTTATTGATTGTTAAATTTCTTACAAGCTCTGGATATTTGTTTTCTAAGCGGTTTTGCATGATTCATCCTATTTGATCAGGGTTTTAATAGTATCGTCTATTTATCTATCATGGGTGCAGGTGTATGGTCAGTATGGATAGGAGCTTGAAACCATGTACCAGTAATTATGCTACTGTATGTGATGTTCAAAATCACAACTTTACTCAAATGTTGGTAGATAGGCTCTCCAGTTTGCCTGATGAATTATTAATTCGGATCCTCTCTTTGCTTCCTACCAAGGATGCTGCTGCTACTTGTGCCTTGTCTACGAAATTGAGGCGTGTTTTCCCTTTGATTACAAGTCTTGATTTTGATGGTTCACCTATTTGTCTTTGTTTGAAACATCCCTATGCAATTGAGCGTCTCCCCACTTTTGTGAGCTTTGTTGATACCGTACTCCAGACACACCAATCGCAGCATCTTACCAAGTTTAAGCTTAAACTTACCAGCAAGGACTTTGGTAAAGTGTACTTTTTTGGTTGCGATAGTTGCTATGGGTGTAGTCAAGGTTGCCTCCCTGACTTGAAATCTCCGCGATTGAATGTGTGGATCTCTTATCCATTGTCTTTTTGTGGCCTTAGGGAACTTGACCTCTCTATACTGGTGGGGGAGTCAGGTAATTTTCAGCTGCCCCCAGCTATTTTCACCTGTGAAACGTTGGAGGTGTTGAAACTTGAGGTCAACATTGGTTTTGATCAAATTTACGCCATGACCTCTTATCGTCTTCCAAAATTGAAACAGCTCGTCTTGTTTGCATCTCTCATTTCTGAGGATGACTTTTTGCCAAGGCTAGTATCAAGTTGCCCTCTACTTGAAGATCTTACATTCCAACCCTTTACAAGGCATGTGAACATCACGGCTATCACGTCGACTTCCCTTCGAAGATTGACTTTAAGGATGCCTAAATGTCCTGATTTTTTCCGAGATAACAGCGACTGTGTGCTGATCAATACTCCCAATCTGGAGTACATTGAATACTCTGATAATTTAGCAAGTTGTTACTCAATCCCTGTAATGCATGGTCTTGTTAAAGCATCTCTGACAATATGCATGGCCTTAAAATTTGGAAGATCATTTCAGCAAATAATTAACCTCATTAGACCCTTTTCTTATTCTCAACACTTATCATTGTTTGGCATTTTTATGTGGGTAATGTCTCAATCTCTAATTTCTCTCTTTTAAGCTGAATAATCCTTTTTCTCCTTTCATAGTTGATTTTGAAATTTACCAATTGTAATAATTGTTTAACTTGTGGTTGTAGGAGTTTGACTTCATCGATGAGGAAGTCTTAAAGGATAAACTCCCCGTGTTTCCTAATCTGAAACATCTAGAGTTGGGTGGTGCTACTGAAGATAGCTGCTGGGATAATCTGTTGTTGCCTTTTCTCAACTGTTCACCTGTCTTAGAAACACTTGAATTTGCACAGGTTGGTGTGGTTTTAGTAATCATATGAGCAATGTTGTTCAACTTCTGAGAGTTTTCTTAATTTTAATTTTATTGATTATTGATGTTTACTTCTTAGGGACTCGCTGGATATCATGGCGACTTTTTGTGTGAGTATAGGAAAAAGGCGCTGGAGAAGGAACAAGAATTTTTTATCCGTACAGATCATGAAACTCCCGTATGTTGCAGGAATCGTCTCAAAAGAATAGTGATAAGGGAATACCATGGATTTGTTCAGGAGATATTAATAACCCAGTTTCTCCTTAGACATGCGTTAGTTTTGGAGGAACTGGTCATATGCTTAGCCCGAACTCCGAATTTTAATCCATGTCAGATGTTAATCGAGATTACATTGAAGAATTTACCAAAAGCCTCAGTCACCTGTTCGATTCAAGTGTTATGATCAGCATGGTCCATGTTAACTCCTATTCATTCTTACCTACAAGTTATCTTAGTTTGTTGTATTTTTATTTAATATCTATTGTTAAATGCATTACTTATGTGAAGGCGGGGTAATTCTTACCCTTGAACTGTGCTAGGATTGAGCCCAACATATATCGTCTATGTTTGATAAATTATAGTCTTTGTTAAAAATAATAGTTTATGATTGGCTTTTAGTAATCATTCGCATTCAAAGTCCTGAAGGAGTAATTTGCAAATGAAAGCAATTATTTAAAAGAATTTGTTGGAAGTGTCTCTTTTGATGTTGAAATACGAAATTTCTTACTCTTTTTACCTGCTACGGAGTAGCTAGCAAGCTCAACAATGGAAATTGTGCATTATATATGTTAATATGTATGTAAATATGGAATAAACAAGGCAACAACTTGGAGGATAACACCATTTATGTAATGATTAGAAGAAAATGATAAGGTTAGGTTACAATATGAGGCATAATGGTGCTTAAACCAACCTTTTACTCTTTTCTCATCTTTAAACTCTTTTCACCCACTTTTGGTTTTGGCATTCATTCATGAATTTTGCCAAATTGTTTCTCTTCTAAGTTTTTTGCATTAGTATCCTCCGTCGTGAGAGGACTTCTTAATGTTCTTTTTACCTTGAATAATTTTTTTTTTCTTTTTTTTTTCTTTTTTGGCATGGACGACAGTTTAACATTAAAATGCGTAGTAATTTTTTTTCTTCATGTTCAAAAATAATTATTTTATAGAGCTTTCAAATTGCTCAAGGGTGAGGATTATTTTAGTGAAGAAAAAACCTCCATGCTTGCCTATTTCAAAGCTGTATCCCGTGTGTGAGGGTCTGATTCAGAGATTTGGCTTCAGTAGAGTTTGTTCTTAACATCACAGTTGTCAATTATATTCACCATCTCTGGGTTCATGGCAAGCCACCTGTTTTGAGTAGCCAAGCTACCATCACAGATGTTAGAGTAGCCTCTCTCCGCAAAAATAATGCTGAGTGGGATATTGATGCCTGCAAACTTTGTTTTGATGAGGAGACGAAAGTCGAGAATGGAACATAAGGCTGGTTCTGGTATCATGGCTGCTAAAGATGATGACCTTGCAGCTGATTCCGAGTCAGAAAAAGCTGCTCCCCAGGCTTCGAATCAAGGCAGGTCAACAGGGAAGCACACCAATAGAGTAAGTGTTACATTTTAACTACAGGAAGTGGTGTTTGCAGGCCTACTATTCTGGAGATCAGGCAAGTAAGAAGCAAAAACAAAAATCGAGGATGGTGGTGGATACTTAGAAGTTAGAACTACTGCAGATGCCATTAAAGAGGGAGAGTGGTCCTTGCAACCAGCAGATAGTTTCATGCATGCTGGAAACGATCTTCAAGGGAGTCAAAGAAGCGGTGAAGCTCTATTTGTGGCATTTACAAATTTTTATCCCTGACACAAGACTTCTAAAATGGTTGCAGGGAGATTATACAGGAGCTCAACATGCAAGAATGCATCTTTAAAACATTGCAGATTTACTGTTAAACTTTCATTATTGTGTTAGTATTTGTATTGTTACTGGGGATTAACTCTCCTTTTTTCAGCTGTCAACAAAAAAAAAAAAAAAAAAAAAAAAAAAAAAAAAAAAAATATACAAATTGCCATTTATACTACATTGGGGTGCTTGTAAATTTAAAACATGTCATAAATATAAATAGAACTTGATGGTGGTTAGATTTCCAAACCTATACTTCCTTCGTTTTTTTCATATTGCAATGTTGGGAAAAATGCTGTTGTTTCAAAGAATACTACAAGAAGGGGGGGTTGAATTGTAGTATGAGAGATTAGCTAAACTTTTTGCGGAATTAAAATTAAGTTAGCTAAAGGAACTGAATGATTAACTAAAGAAACAAAAGAATGCAAGAGAGATTTTACGTGGAAAACTCCTTGGCCCTAACAAGGAGAAAAACCACGACTACTTGGGATTTTGGGAAATGAATCTTCACTATAATAGGGCAAATGATCCTATTCCAAGCTAACGACTCAAACTCAAGTTCCTCTACGAACTTAAGACCCTGAGGAACAAGTCACCCAACTTGTTACTCTTCTCTTCTCTTTCTCTTTTCTCACTTCTCTGTTCTCTGTTCTCTTTCTCTTCACTTCCTCACTTCTCTTTCTCATACACAAACGTTCACTCGAACTTCCCCATTCCCCAAATTACAACTCGAAAGAAAACAAACTCTAGTATAAGAACATTAAGAACACTCTAATGAACTTGTGTGGAATTGACACTTGACTCGATTTGAAGCTTGAAAACTTATGTGAGAAAGGGTGATATTTTCCTTCTGAAATTAATGGCTATTTATAGATCAATAAATGCTTTGGAAAATCCTCTTTGTGCAGCAACACCATTACGCCACTACTCATACCCACTAAGAAGACCATGTCCCTATAATTAAGGAACCATGAACTCCTTAATGTGCAAACCCATGACTGAAGAAGAACATGGGAGAGTAGGCCGCAAGTTTTGGAAAACATGGGAGATTTTATTTTGTAAAAGATATTTTCCGAAAATCAGAAAAAGAAATAAAATAAAATCTTTTTAACTTGAGAAAAAGAAAAACTTTTAAATGATAACAGTTTTCCTAAAACTAGCATGCACATATTTCATCTTTTAGATCAATTCCACACAGATTTTCCGAGTGCTATTTAATATCTTATACTTACATAAATCCTAAAATATAAAAATATATTTAGTCTTCATATTCTCTGATGAAGCTCCTACTCCGAGGCTTCTGTTCCTTGGGAGGAACTTCTCTTCTCTAGTCTTCATTTCTGAAGCGCCAGTTCCTGTGAGGGAACTCTTCTATAAGGATAGCTCTGCTTCTGGCCTTCTTGTTCCTCATGGTATTTTTACAAGACCCTTTATTCTCCTAGTCTTTGTAACTGAGTACACACTTAAACAATCAAGCACTTATTAGTTTGTAAGTAAGTGAGGTTGTGTCATCATCAAAATCATTAAGTCCAAAAATATTCCCCCTTTTTGATGATGACAATCAAACCAAACTTACTTACAAGGAAACAGAGATAATCCATTTTATTCCGAAAGAAAGGAAATGTAAAAACAAAATACAATGCAGAATGGAAACTAATGTTTAAGGAAATAAAAACAATGCATAAATAAATAACTAAAAAACTTGAAAAAAAACTTGTACATACATTATACCGGCTTGTAGAGATTAGACAGCTTGTGAAGATTTCGAACAGAGACCATAGAATGATTAAGTTTCCTTGATAGTTTTCATCCTTTTCCCCCTTTTGGCATTATCAAAACCTAACACACAAGTATATAGTATACCATAACACAGCACCATCTAGTGGTTTAGTGTTAAGACAAGAAGCATGCATAGAGAGCAAATATTCAAAAAGCATATAGGCAAAAGAAACATAGACATTCATCATCCAAAACCGATTAAAAACATCGGCCAAATGTACCAAATTCGCAAGTTTGCCAAAAGAAATTAAAAAGTGCCCAAAATATTACAGACCTAAAAAAAAATTGTTTCCAAAAGCAAATAAACATAAGTTTTATCAACATAAAGAGGCTGCAAGGAAAGGTAGGTTAAGAAGCAATGTTCTGGTCATCATCAACAGCAAGATCCTCCAGCTTCTTGCTGATTTGAGACACTATGTCCTTCATAATGGACTGTCTCCCTTGTTCAGAGCTTGAGACCAGCTTCTTGACATCAGTGCTCAGAATGACCATGCTCTTCTTCAGTTCTGCCATGTTTTGCTTTGAATCCTCTTGTTCCTTGAGCACCTTCAGGAGCATATTCTTCATCTCCTTGACATCCTCGCTGGGAACCTTTGATGGGGAATTGAAAGCTGCAAAACCTGTTCCTGCAGATGCATGCTTGCCCAGACTAGGAGAGCTTGAGACTTTCTGTAATTCCTCTTGCACCCCAGTCATATCAATACAAATGGGTGCAGAGGGCTCCTTTTTCTTCATCAGCCTCAAACTCTTCCTTTTCTTCCTTCCCCCTGTCTCAGTCACTTCCTCAACCACCTTTTCCTCTTCCTCCTCTTGAATGTCCTGCACCACTCCCTCTACTATCCCAGCAGCCCTCTCTTCTTCCCCCTCAGCTAGTCCACCTACTTCCTTAGGCCTTTTCTCCTTTTCCTCCAGCACAACTTCAAAACATCCATCCACAACCTTCATCTTATGATTTTCAAGGAAAATAGGTTGCATGTATTCGGTGTTTTTGAGGGGCAGAGGTTCTTTATCAGTAAAGGAGATGCCAAAGCTTTCGAAAACATAGGTAAGTAGGTTACCATATCCCACCTTCCATCCTTTTGGAACACAGTGAGAAAGGTGTTGGATCATGATGGAAGGAAAGTTAATTTGGATCTTTTTGGCTAGGCAATAGATGAGAACAGAGTCAAGCTTGTTGGCACTGTCTCTCTTTTGGGTTCGAGGAATAATGTCATTGAAAACGAATTTTAGCAGAATTTTGTCAAGAGGGGTTAGGTCATTGTGATTTATGTAGGTTTCCTCCGGGTCTCCACCTAGAAACTCTACTATCTCATCAATATTTGCATCAGGAAGAGGGTTCCTTATCACATTAATCTTAAAATACAAGTCATATCCAGTATTAGGTACATCAAACAACTCATCCAAATACATCGCATCAAACTCAATTTCTTTTTCTTACACACAACAGCGAATAACACCTTTAGAATATTTGAAACTTTTGCAAAAATCCCTCATAGCATCAACATACATACTCCGATTAAAGCATTCACTCAACAAATTCACCTAATTTTGAGCCTCAACTAAATCAAGCAATTCATACAACTTAACAGACTTACACCAAGGAAGATTAATAACCAAACCAAGTGAGGTTGTGTCATCATCAAAACCATTAAGTCCAACAAATACTCTTATGCCTTGCAAACATTTTTTTAACATTAACAGGAGCTAAGTTGGAATGGAGTGAGGGACATAGAAAAGACAGATTGCATAAAGTTCACTGCAGGATGAAAATTTAGTCAGTTGTTTAATTGCACTCGAAACATCTAATGAAATGCATTCACAAATTTATCACTAGATACTGAAAATCTTTACATTTGAAAAAATTCTTATCATCAAACCATCATTAAATCTATGAACAAACACTTAAGGAAATCGACATTCTAAACTAAGAAAAAAACTGGGGTATTTATTTGTACCTTCAACTATTGTTTTCTTCTGACATTACTATTTTGGGTGTTTTTGTCCCTC